AAGCCCATTTGTAGTCAGTTGCTTCTCTGCCTTTAGCACGCGTGGGTCATCTTGACCCCATCTCCTGGCCGACAGCCAGAGGGTTTTTTGGCAGATTTAAAATCTCCTTCTGGTGGTGGATGCTGCAGCAATGTTTAACATCATCTGTACGGGGGGAAATGTGTCGGCTTTCCCTGCCCACGGGCATCCCAGCCCTGCCCTCGCTTCCGGGGCACACATGCAGAGCCACGATGCCCACGCAGCCATCAGCCTGTGAGCCCCAGCAAAGAGCAGCAGCCTGGGGCACAGCAGTGAGCTCTGAGAGCTGGGGATGGAGCTCCTGGCCCTGCTGCAGTGGTCTCAGTGCTTTTTTGCTTTAAGATGCCCATCGCTGTGGTATCTGGGCAGGGGGATGGGGACCTGCATTGACCATTAACACCTTAGGCTTGTGTGGGGTTTCGATTGCGGGTGGCTGATGGACAATAATCCACGTTCACACTTCTCGGTAGTCAAGGTGACGGGTCCTGCTCGTACCCAGTAATTGCCCGGGCTGTGGCTCGGGGTGCTGGTGTGTGCTGTGCACCTCTCTGGGAGCTGCTGGGGCAAATCCTGGACCCACGATCTGGGAGGAGGGCTGGAGAGCATCCCTGGGGGTTCAGTAGGCTGAGGGCATCAAGTGCTCCTTGTGCCCGTGGTGTCCTGGAGCTGGTGGGGAGAGGCTGGGGGTCGATGTCCTGGGACCCGCTCAGAGCGAAGCGGGGTGGCCGGTGGGTCACTGCTCCACAACGCTGCAGAGATGTTTGGGGGTGGACGGCAGTTCTCGAGGTGGGGGATGTCCCAGGGCTGCACCATCATCATGGGGTTTGGCTTTTGGATATTGAGGTGCTGGGGTGGCCTGGGCATATTTTGGGAGCCCACACACTCCCAGGGGCTTCCCCACTTCCTGCCTACGAACCCACAGGGAGGGTCTCAGGAGGTTTGAGACTCTCATGTGTCTTTTTGTGCCCATTTGTGGCAGGGAAATGGATTTTTCGGTGGGTCACGGGCCTTCGCCAGCGAGGCACTTTCAGCGGCCGGCGGCAGGGGACTGCTCGCCCTGAGTCA